CCGTCACTGACAGAGATGGTCAGTTAGAGCCGGGAAAGACCAGTGAGTAGGTAAGTGGGTTTGCTTCGGGGGCCCTGGAACTCAATCCTCATGTTATATAGCAGGCACTTTACCAGCCGAGCCATCTGCTGAGTTTTGCTGTAGTTTTGTTGAGACAGGGTCTCACGTAACCCAGGGGGAACTTGAAGTTGCCCTTTAACTGAGGATGACCTTGAACTCTTGACCTTTCTGCCTCCACACCCAGCCACTACGAGGTTTGTAAAATGTAAACAGTGTTGTCACTCTCCTACTGATGTTATTCCAGAACATTCTATCCCAGAATGCCATCCAAATTACTTATCTTGACTAATAGGCACCGGTGTGAGCTCCTCCTGGCTCTTTCTCCTCCTCCGTTTACTTCCATTTTGAGCTTACTGACTGGCTTCACACAAACTGGATGACGTAAGCAGAATATATATATGCCCACGTTTCAGCAGGGATCCAGAGGGATCCCATGAACGTGTTATGGCAGTAGATAAAGGGAATTTTGCAGCCACGATTAAATTAAGGACCCGGAAATAGGTAGGCTCTTGGATTTAGCTGGGTGAACCCGGTGTAAGCACAGGGCCTTGAAAGTGAGGAGAGAAGCCGGGCAGTGGTGGCGCACGCCTTTAATCCCAGCACTTGGGAGGCAGAGGCAGGCGGATCTTTGTGAGTTCGAGACCAGCCTGGTCTACAAGAGCTAGTTCCAGGACAGGCTCCAAAACCACAGAGAAACCCTGTCTCGAAGAAAAAAAAAAAGTGAAGAGAGAGGAGATGCGGTGGCTAAGCCAAGGTAAGAGATACTGGCCTAGATGGTGGATGGGAACACTCTGGGTGTCCTAAGTCAAATTTGTTTCCACTGAGCAGAACTCCTTGTCAACTGGGCTGCATTCTTCCTGGAGGCTCTAGAGGGCAGTCCACTCCCTTGTCTTTTCCAGCTTCCATAGACCATGCGCTTCCCTCCGTTTGTGGCCTCTTTATTCCTCTCCAAAACAGCAGATGAGGATCTTCAAACTCTCCCTGTTTCTTTCTTCCACTTTTAATATCACCCATTAGACACACCAGACATATCCAAAAGATCCCCATCTCAGAATATTAATTTAATTCTTCTACCAAAAACCTTTATTTCTCCAAGGTAAGACTGTAGGAGCCAGCCATAATAAGCTAAATATGAACAGATCCACCCAAAGGAAGTTCATTACTTTCAACCATTATCACCTGCCAGAGTAGGACTCAGCCATATGGAGGCCTGAGTCTCAGTAGTTTACCCTGAAGCAATCCTGGTTGCAGGAAGAATCACAAATTGAGATTACCCAACCACTACCCAAGAACAGACCATCCAAAGGAAATGCCTAGCATTCCAACCGCTGTAGATAGGATCACCAGCCAGCACACTCACCAGGACACCCTTAGACAAACGTCAGCCAATCAAGGGTCCTGAACCTCCAGAAACCCCTCACCCTCACCTTTCCTACTATAAAAACCCAACTCTAACTGAGCTTGGGACTCTCCTTTTATTCCAATAAGTTGGACATGCAGAGAGACTGAGTTTGCAAACTTGCATAAAATAAAGGCTCTTTGCTTTTACATATGGGACTCGATCTCCTTGTTGGCTTCTGGGGGACTTTGTGGATTTGGGCATAACAAAGACAATGTGAAATTTTGGGCATCTGAGTGCACGCATCCTTTTGGGGGGAGCGTGGGGGTGGGGGGGTGACATTATCCTGCCAGCCACAGGGTTCCGTGAACTCACATTCTGGTGTTTCTTCAGTTCAGTTTTCCTGTTTAGATGCAAACATGCTCCCCAGTAACCAGAGCGGTAAAGAGTGCTGAGACATCTCGTTTCACTTCTGTGGAATAGCTGAAGAAACTGTAATACGTTTGTTCAGGAGAAAGCTCAGTCTGCTTGGGCACTGTAGAACTCTATTTTCTTTTAAAATTTTATCCATTTATATTTATGTGTGTATGCTTACGTGACTTTATGGGCACCACATGTATGTAGGAGGCACTGGATCTCCCAGAACTGAAGTTACAGATGGTTGTGAGCCACTGTGTAGATGCTGGGCACTCAGCCCCAGTCTTCTGCATGATCAATAAGTGCTATTGAGCACTGAGCCTTCTCTCCAGCCACAGGAACCATGCTATTTCAAATAACATAGGAGGGCTTTTGGTTAACTTTCTAGCCAGAAATTATTATTACAAAAACTATATTTTTAAAGGAAACTGTGCTACAGTACTTGTACTGGGTGGTTTTGTGTGTCAACTTGACACAAGCTAGAGGAAGGAGCCCCAGCTGAGGAGGTAGATGCCTCCTTGAGATCCAGTGCAGGCATTTTCTCATTTAGTGATCAGCGGGGGAGGCTTCAGCCTATGGTGGGTGGTGCCTTCCCTGGGCTGCTGGGCCTGGGTTCTATAAGAAGGTGGGCTGAATAAGCCATGGGAAGCAAGCCAGTAAGCAGCACCCCTCCATTGTATCTGCATCAGCTCCCGCCTCCAGGATCCTGCCCTGTTGAGTTCCTGTCCTGACTTCCCTCAGTAATGAACAGTGATGAGGAAGTGTAAACCAAATACACCCTTTCCTCCCCAACTTACTTTTTGGTCATGATATTTCATCTCAGCAATAGAAATCCTAATGAAGACAGTACTGAAGTGTAATTAAAAAAAAAAAAGATTACTCCAGAAGGCACTACAATTGAATGTCACAGATGACCTAATTTACTATTTCTTGGATAAAAGTCAATAGCCACTACATTTGATTTAATAACTGGTTATATTAAATGTTCTTCTGCAATTCTAGAACCTCCATAACAGTTTTTTGAGATTTTTATTTATTTTTATGTGTATAAGTGTTTGCCTGAATGTATATCTACATCATTTGCATGTGGTGTCCTTGGAGGCCAGAAGAGGGTGTTGGATCCCCTGGGACTGGAGTTACAGGTCATTGTTAGCTGCCATATGGATGTTGGGAATTGATCTCGGGTTCTCTGGAAGAGCAGTCAGCACTTTTTTTTTTATTTTAACTTATTTTATGTACATTGGTGCCCGACCTGCTTATGTCTGTGCAAGGGTGTCATGTTGGATCCTCTGGAACAGTTGTGAGCTGCCCTGTAGGTGCTAGAAATTGAACCATGGCTCCTCTGGAAGAGAACTAAGTGCTCTTAACTGCTTAGCCATCTCTCAGGCTCTCGCACCTGCATTCGTAACTTCTACGCCAGCTCTCTAGCCATCAATAACAGTTTTTAAAAGCTGACAATTATCTTGCTGTTCTCATGATGACTTGCTAGGCAAGCTGTTACACATTTGTGATCCTAGCACCCGGCAGGCAGAGACAGTGTTAGGAATATTTCTTAACGTGAGCTCCCCGTCAACACAAAATTCCCAATCAAGCCAAATCAAAACAAGCCAAATTAAAAAATATCCAGGTTTAATGGGAGATCTGCGCTCTCCGGTGGCCCCTAGGGGGAACCTGGAAGCCAGGAGAACCGGGAATCGGCAGGAAACCCCATCCCCAGGAAGGGGTTAGGACCTGGCCTGCTGGGATTTGGAGTCCAGACCAGGCCAAGGGGCTGGAGCCTTCACTCCCAACTTGACAGACAGAAGATCCTTGCGGCTAGGCCAATCAGTCTAGCTTAACTGGTGACTTCTAGGTCTCAAACAAAGTAGAAGGTATTTCTGAGGAAAATTACAAATGTGGTGGTGTGTGGCTTTAATCCCAGCACTCCGAGACAGAGGCAGGCAGATCTCTGTGAGTTCGAGACCAGCCTGATTTATAGAGCAAGCTTCAAACCAGGCAGGGCTCTATAGTGAGACCCTGTCTCAAAGCCAAACCAAACTCACCCATACTTTTTTAGTTTGTTTTGTTTTTCAAGACAGATTTTTCTCTGTTTAGTCCTGGCTGTCCTGGAACTCAATCTGTGGTCAGGCTGGCCTCCCAAGTGCTGGGATTAAAGACTGTGCCACCACCGCCTGGCCCTCTTTAGCTTTTTTAGCTTTTTTTTTTTTTTTTCTTTTTCTTTTTCGAGACAGGGCTTCTCTGTGGTTTTGGAGCCTGTCCTGGAACTAGCTCTTGTAGACCAGGCTGGTCTCGAGAGATTTGCCAGCCTCTGCCTCCCTAGTGCTGGGATTAAAGGCGTGCGCCACCACCACCCGGCCTCTTTAGCTTTTTGATTGAGACAGAGTTTCTTATAGTCTCGGCTGATACTCCTGACTTTATTTCCCAAACGCTGGGCTTACAATATCTACCACCACGCCCAGCTCCCAAATCTTTTAATAAACAGTCAATTTTACCTAAAAGTAACCTCAAATGCTATAGGAGTGTTGAAGGCAAACGATTGTGAAATAGAAACAAGGAAGCATGCCTGTAAGTTCTAAGTTAAAATGTATATAAATGTTTTATGGTTACGACTGTGAAGCTTTTAATAGATGATTTTGTACCTCAGCAAAACCAAAGAACAGGGTAAGGTAAGGAGGCTAATGGTAATGTAGAGGGTGAGGAGTCTCTGGGATCAAGCGTGTGAACTTGAGCAGGCAATTCAGCGGAACCTTCTGGGGGAGGTTTTAAGCAAATGTATAAACAGAACATTCAGGAGGCAGCGTTCTGATTTGTAGCGGCTGTGTTTCTTAGGGCTTGGCTTTTGTTTGCACGCGTTTCCAAGGAGACAGTCACAGCTGGGAAACGTTAAAATACAGGAACTTTAAGAAATGACCCACGCCCTAAAACGGAAGGTAAAAACGAGCAGGTGCCAAGGTCACCCCTTAACTAATAACCAGGCGTGCAGCAAAACGGAAGGAACTCTGACCCTAACAAACATGGCTTCCGGTTACTTCCGTTTTCCTTTTCGTAATTTGGCTCTGCGACTTCTCGCGATTTTATATTGGCTCTACTTAGCAAACGCCTGGCCTTCTACCTGTGGAGAAGGCGGGCTAGGGAGGAGGAGCTACGCTCTGATTGGTTGCTATGCTGCAGCGTTTCTGGCCGCGCCCCGACCCTGATTGGCTATCGAGAGGGGGCGGCTTGAGAGGCGGTGGCAGCGGCGTGGGGAGCCATGGGTCAGCCAGCCAAGGTGACAGGGCTGGGGAGGAGGGACAGGGAGGCTGAAGATCAGGACCCTCGGCAGGGGAGGGAGGCGACGCGAAGGGACGCAGAGTGGAAGAGTCAGTGGAAGAGGGTGACGACCTTGAGAGCAGTGGGAGGGAAGGGAGACGGCCCAGAGGGAGAGCGAGTGAGGAGGGTGACCACCCCAGTCGGCGGTGAGCGGAGGAGGGGGACCCCGAGGGGCGCTGAGTGGAAAATAGTGACAGCCGTGGGGGACAGTGATTGAGGGGGTGACAACCATGAGAGATGGTGAGTGGAGGAGGGTGATGATCGCAAACTGACCGCCCTTGCCTTCATAAAGAAACCAGTAGTAAGAAGATTATAGACAATAAAATCGAAGGAAGTTTTGTGAGGCTGAAACTAGGATTTAACTTACCTAGAGGAATTCAGAAATCCCTAGAGAGGGAGTGGCTGCATTGCTGAACCTCTTGTTCATGGCTGTCCCAGACAACGTAGGTCTGGTCTCAAAATTTTTTTTTTTTTTTTTTTTT